AAATAAAACTATTTTTCCTCTCCCCTTGACAAAATGAGCTATTAAACCCTGAGATGAAAGGACCCTTTCCCCACTGTACGGTATTAAAATAATGTTTTTGTTTTTGTTTTGTTAAATATCCCTTTAGCAGCGCCTAGATCGACATGCCTTTTTTGACAGTAGTTGCCTAATAGCCCCCAAAATGGCTAGAATTAAACAGCAGGGCTCACCCCTGATAGACTTCAATAGGATTTGCCACTAAGTTTAGGATTTCGTTTCAGAATTCGATGACCCCCTGGATCAAACCTGAGCATCATTTAGATGCCATAAAATATTTGTTTTCACAGCAGTATTTGCAATTTTAAATTGCATTATTATGGGGCCATGGTATGTGGCCATTTGAGATACAACTATTTATTGAAGGGATTCTCTTCTATGTAAATCTACAGCCCATCCATAAGTAGCTTATTTGAAACAGATCATGAATAACAGAACAGCAATCAAAACAATGTAGCAAGAACCACTGTAGAAAGCAGGAAGACTCTGTATTGAGTTCACCATCTGGCTGAGTGGAGATGCTTATCTTTCTCATTAAATATCTGGGGAAAAAATACAATTCTGGCTTTAAAAGAGCCTCAGGTGCTCAGTTAATTCCAAAAGAAGGAATTTAGATTACACACCGACTGAACTCTCGGTTTGGCTTCATGTGCAGGTTTTTCAAGCTCCAAACTGTGACAAAAGGACTTACACTTACATTTACCAATAGCTGTTTCAACATTAATGTCTTTGCTCTGCACAGTTTGGGGTCCTACAATAATCTTCCAAATAATACAAAAAATGCAGACATTTTTTCTAGAATTAAAAGATAAGTTCAGCTTTTGTGTAGTACCCTCCTAGTCAGGTGTTAGGATATGTACATTTAGTTTGGGCCTATTGTAGTCAATGAGGTTCTGTTCTGTTAGGCAAATTTAGCTTGGCTCAGTGTACTCCATGAGGCTGAAATTCTGTTTGGGGTTTATAGTTAGGTGTTAGTTTAGGTAAATTTAGTTTCAGCTCACTTTGACCACTGGAACTAGGTTTGATTATTTTGGTCTGGTCTGTGTTCCAGAGGCTGCATGATTGTTTGCTTCTCCCTATTAACCTGGAGGAACTCTGGGTAACAGAGGTGGGTGCATATCAGTCAACAGCTTAATATTTATGTAGCCCCAGACAATCCCTGGGAGGTCTGGCCCAAAGGATTCTGGGACAGAGAGCAGCCTCGTCTTCTTCCAGAGGGAGAGATCATCGCCTAGAGCAGGGGTGTCCAAACTATGGCCCTCCAGCTGTTGAAGTACTACAAGTTGTTGAAGTATTCCAGGTCATGCATCTGCCTCTGAGTGTCTTGCCTGTGGATGTCAGAGTCTTGCAAGGCTTCATGGGACTTGCAGTTCCTCAACACCGGGAGTTTAGGTAAATTTAGTTTCAGCTCACTTTGACCACTGAAACTAGGTTTGATTATTTTGGTCTGGTCTGTGTTCCAGAGGCTGCATGATTATTTGCTTCTCCCTATTAACCTGGAGGAACTCTGGGTAACAGAGGTGGGTGCATATCAGTCAACAGCTTAATATTTATGTAGCCCCAGACAATCCCTGGGAGGTCTGGCCCAAAGGATTCTGGGACAGAGAGCAGCCTCGTCTTCTTCCAGAGGGAGAGATCATCGCCTAGAGCAGGGGTGTCCAAACTATGGCCCTCCAGCTGTTGAAGTACTACAAGTTGTTGAAGTATTCCAGGTCATGCATCTGCCTCTGAGTGTCTTGCCTGTGGATGTCAGAGTCTTGCAAGGCCTCATGGGACTTGCAGTTCCTCAACACCGGGAGTTTGGACACCCCTTGCCTAGAGGGCTTGTTTGTCCTTCCTGGGCATTCTGCCATGTGCTTGTCGAGTGGAGACCCCAAGCTAGAGCCACTGACTGTTGCTGAGGGCTTGCTGAGGGGCTGTTATCTGAGGATCTAGTCTGGTACCACTGGGAGAAGCTGCCTGCAAGATACTGGTAGGAGGTCGCCATTTGTCCAGAGGTATTGTGTGAGTACAGGTGGGGAGAGATCATAGACCCTGAGTGAACTGAATGAGTGGCATCACTCCTCTTGCATGCTAGGAGGTCAGCTGTGTGTTTGCCAAGAAGTTTGTCCTGTGGAGCATGGTCAGTCCTTTCCTTGTGAAGGGAATGTTGCTTGGACTGTTTGCTGAGGAAGGCTCAACCTCCTCAATACTGTGCTGCAGAACTTGTCCACTTTCTGCTACCCAGGGACAGTGTTCCGAGTCCCAAGAGTTCAGTTTCAAGAAGCAAGTTAGTGTCCTCAGGTTTGTTCTAGCAAGTTACTAGAGTATCCCATTTTCCCCAATCCCCATCCAAGTTAAACTTTTATTAAAACATAAAACCAACAACCCTAGAGTGCTTCTTGAGCTGAGAGAGAGAAAGTGCATGCGCGTCTGGCTGCCGGGCAACTACTGGGTAAAGGAACTTGGACATACTACCAGCAGATCCAAGGGGGGTAGCACTACACATGGTACATCCATATTTTAACATCCATATTGTTACATGTTACCTTAAAGCACCCACAAACCCCCCTGTTCCCTCCTGTGACAGCAAATGAATGAATTACTAATCCTGCCTGCCACCACGGCAGATGGCTTGTAGTTCTCAATGAACTACAAGAGCACCCTTGTAGATCATTGACTCTTCTCCACTTCAATAACTGCTCGTATGTAGGTATGGGCAGATCACTGTACTGAGTGTCCGCAGGAGCCTGAAATTGCATCCAGCGATCCACTGTTCATAGTGCAATGCTTTGCAGGCTGCAGTGAAAAAAATTATTATTTTAAAAATATCTATTAATATTTTTTTTTTAAGTGAACTTAACCATTCATATAATTCTAATAGATTGAAAAATGAAGACTACTGTATTTGCTTCACAAATGTACACGGTCACCGTATGTCATTTAAAACTAGCTGTCACATTCTATAACTGAGAGATTACTCTATATGTGCAGCAGAGTGCTTCTCACACACAGTCCTCAAGAAATTCTACAGATCAAAATTTAAAGCCTAATCATGTGAAAAATCAAAATGCCTTATATAATTCATTCTGTTGATGGCATTAATACAGTAGTTTTTTTTTAAGTCCCCCCATAACATTGTTTTATTACCTGCTGATCCTGCCAGTAAATCCGTTATTTTGCATTTCCTGTAACAGGGAACTCACAGGGCAATGTTGTTACTCTGTGGACAAGCTAGTCTTTGGTGAACATCTATTTTAAGATGGGCTTTAAAAAAAAAGACAAACAAAAAAAGCCCTCTGCTCACACTTCTTAAGCTGTTACAGCAACAGGGTTTTTCTTTTGAAAAAGAAAATATGACACCATAACCATGAAAAGCTGACCCCTAGAAACATAGGGGGTGTACAATGAGGTACATTCATCAAGCAAATTAATGACACTACGAAATGTAAATCAAGTTGCCTCTTGGTCTATGTGGCAACTGTGACCCTGTAATCCTGGGCAGCCAACTGCAGAAGATTTAATTATACCTATGACAGTTTAGCAATGCCTTGCTGTGGGTCAAAATTTATAAATATCCCCCAGTCATATGGACACAACTATGATGCCCCATAGCAACATTTTGATGGAATTCCTCTTCTCTACTAGAGATGTGCAATTTGATTCATTACGAATGAAAATTTGAACAAAATGTACGTCATTCTGAGATTCGTATGATTCCAAAATAGAATAAAATAAAGCAGAATAGAGTAGAAAATAATAAAAAAGAATAGAATAAAATAGAATAGATTAGAATAGAATATAACAAATAAAGCACTCATCTGAAATTTCACATTTCACTTTTCACATTTCGAATTGATTTGAAAATAATGAATATATGAAATGAATCCGAATACATGAGACAAATTCCAGAAAAAAATCATTCTAACAACAAATATGACAAAATAAAATGATTAATTTAAAAAATGAATCCAAAACAAATCTATTTTTTTCTGTCGTGCACATCTCTACTCCCTGTCATTGATCTTAACATAAAGTACCATATTTTTCGCTCCATAAGATGCACTTTTTTTCCCCCCACAAAAAAAGGGGGAAAATGTCAGGGCGTCTGGTGGAGCAAATATGGAGCAGCCAGTCCGGTATTTCTGCTGCCGCCACCGTGTCAGAATACCGGGCCGGCCGCTCAGCTCTTCTCTGCAGCAGGACCTTACCTGTTCCACGGTCCAGTGCTGTACAGCCTTCCTGCACTGGAATCTTTAGTGTGGGCACCCGGCTGCATGCGCAAGAAGCGTTGCGCTTTGTGAATGGTCCTGCATCTTCTGGGATACGTGACAGGTCCCAGAAGACACCAAGCCATTCACAAAGCGCAACGCTTCTGTCAGAGCCGGGTGCCCACACTAAAGGGAGGACAACTCAGCGGAAGTGGGAGCGGGTACCTGTCAAATTCAGGTACCCTCTCCCCCTCCCTTCCCAAAGGTCTGCAGTCTCTGGTCATCTCCTGTACTGTCCGCAGTCTCTGGTCATCTCCTGTACTGTGTCTGCAGTCTCTGGTCATCTCCTGTATTGTGTCCGCAGTCTCTGGTCATCTCCTGTACTTTGTCCACAGTCTCTGGTCATCTCCTGTACTATGTTTGCAGTCTCTGGTCATGTCCTCCTGTAGTATGTCTGCAGTCTCTGGTCATCTCCTGTACTGTGTCCGCAGTCTCTGGTCATCTCCTGTACTATGTCCACAGACTCTGGTCATCTCCTGTACTATGTCCGCAGTCTCTGGTCATCTCCTGTACTATGCCAGCAGTCTCTGGTCATCTCCTGTACTGTGTCCGCAGTTTCTGGTCATCTCCTGTACTGTGTCCGCAGTTTCTGGTCATCTCCTGTACTGTGTCCGCAGTCTCTGGTCATCTCCTGTACTATGTCCGCAGTCTCTGGTCATCTCCCGTACTGTGTCCGCAGTCTCTGGTCATCTCCTGTACTATGACAGCAGTCTCTGGTCATCTCCCGTACTGTGTCCGCAGTCTCTGGTCATCTCCTGTACTATGTCCGCAGTCTCTGGTCATCCCCTGTACTGTGTCCGCAGTCTCTGGTCATCTCCTGTACTATGTCCGTAGTCTCTGGTCATCGCCTGTACTGTGTGCGCAGTCTCTGGTCATCTCCTGTACTGTGTCCACAGTCTCTGGTCATCTCATGTACTATGTCTGCAGTCTCTGGTCATCTCCTGTACTGTGTCCGCAGTCTCTGGTAATCTCCTGTACTGTGTCCGTAGTCTCTAGTAATCTCCTGTACTATGTCAGCAGTCTCTGGTCATCTCCTGTACTGTGTCCGCAGTCTCTGATCATCTCCTGTACTGTGTCCGCAGTCTTTGGTCATCTCCTGTACTGTGTCCGCAGTCTCTGGTCATCTCCTGTACTATATCCGCAGTCTCTGGTCATCTCCTGTACTGTGTCCGCAGTCTCTGGACATCTCCTGTACTATGTTCACAGTTTCTGGTCATCTCCTGTACTGTGACCGCAGTCTCTGGTCATCTCCTGTACTGTGTCCACAGTCTCTGGTCATATCCTGTACTGTGTCTGCAGTCTCTAGTCATCTCCTGTACTGTGTCTGCAGTCTCTGGTCATCTCCTGCACTGTGTCTGCAGTCTCAGGTCATCCCTTGTACTATGTCCGCAGTCTCTGGTCATCTCCTGTATTATGTCTGCAGTCTCTGGTCATCTCCTGTACTGTGTCCGCAGTCTCTGGTCATCCCTTGTACTATGTCCGCAGTCTCTGGTCATCTCCTGTACTGTGTCCGCAGTCTCTGGTCATCTCCTGTACTGTGTCCGCAGTCTCTGGTCATCTCCTGCACTATGTCCGCAGTCTCTGGTCATCTCCTGTACTGTGTCCGCAGTCTCTGGTCATCTCCTGTACTGTGTCCGCAGTCTCTGGTCATCTCCTGTACTATGTCCGCAGTCTCTGGTCATCTCTTGTACTGTGTCCGCAGTGTCTGGTCATCTCATGTACTGTGTCCGCAGTCTCTGGTCATTTCCTTTACTATGTCTGCAGTCCATTGATTCAGAATATTTCTTTTTTGTTTTTCTCCTCTAAAACCTAGGCCGTCAGGTGCGTCTTATGGAGCTAAAAATGCGGTATGTCGAAATCATGGACAGGTAGCTGGAAAGTCATAGTCAGTATATTACTAGGCTTCAGAACTGTGGACAGAAGTTGACAAGGAAAAGGAGTGCATTGTTGCAGGGAATTAACTTTTAACATTCATTGTTCAGCTAACCACTCTGTTCTCAGTAGCTATTCATTCCTTTTAAGTATTTCAGCTTTCAGAGCTTCAGTGCAAATTCTAAATCCTTCCACTACTTCCACTGCCACAGCAAACAAGTGTTGTAAAAGGTAATGCTGTAGTCAGTAAAAAGAAACAAAAGTAAAAAAAACAGTAATTGCCATAGCAATAAAAATGGCCATCACAATGTTTTATATTATAACATATGCAAATTGTTACTAATTTTCCACATAATTGCTCTATATTCCTAATACAAGATGTAGCGTTTTTTGCAGAATTACAAGTCGCTGTCAGTTTTAGGTCAGGAGACACTCTTTTTTACAGCTCAAGGAAGGCTGTAGTAGACACAGGGTTAATTTTATTGCTGGCCAGGATGACCAGAAACCCTGAGGGCAGTAAATCTACACTACTAACACAGCTAAACAAAGAGGAGATTTACTAAAACTGGAGCACTCAGATTCTGGTGGAGCTGTCCATGGCAGCCAATCAGCTCCTAACATCAGCTTGTTCAATTAAGCTTTGACAATAAAACCTGGAAGCTGATTGGTTCCTATGCAGAGCTGCAACCGATTTTGCATGCTCTCCCTCAAAGTCTCTTTATTGCACCATCTGCAAACTGAAATGTGTGAATAGCAACAGCAATTGTGATGTCTCCTTCTGCAGATCTGATGTCAGCTCTTCTTGCCTGGAAATGTCACGGGATGTACAGTGTCAAAACAACTGTAATCCCTAACCACTTGCCCTCCTGAGGATTTACCCCCCTTCCTGACCAGGCCATTTATTGCATTATGGCGCTGCATTACTTTAACTGACGACTGCACGGTCATGCAATGCTGCACCCAAATTAAATTTACGCCCTTTTTTCCCATGAATTGAGCTTTCTTTCAGTGCAAAAGTAACAATTAGCAAAAACATGATTGCAGTTTGAAACATATCAAACCCCTTGTGTGTTGTTTTGTTACTGTATTGTCTCATGTACTGTCCCCCACTATATTGTACAGCGCTGAGCAAACCTTTTGGAGCTATATAAATACTGTATAATACTGTATAATAATAATAATAATAATATATATGTTTTATTTGTAGCATAAAGACCAATTGCATATGATCAGCCATTCCATAGAATAGCTGATATAGATTCACTATGACTTACCAGATTTACCAATCTAATTAGATTAGAAAACCATTCCTTGAGAAACCAACAAATGGTGAAAAAAGAAAGCATAGAAAAAGGAAAAAGAAAAGAAGGAAGAAAGAAAGAAAAAAAAAAAGGAGGAAGAAAGATATACAGTAGCAGGAAACTCAGTAAATTGGTGTGTTCACTCTCAAAAAGAAGACATTATTAGTAGCTGAGTCGACGTTAAGAACATAGACTGCACCTAGGTAACCATATTCTCCTATTCTGTGTAATGTCGAAAGAGGGTCCAGGCATATTATGTCCTATGGAATTTATCAGTAGATTCCTGTGCAAGTGCAACCAATTCCTCCATATCATATATGTCATCTATTAAATTAAGCCATTCTTTGATGGAGGGAGTTTTTGAGGATTTCCAATGTCGAGGAATCAGAATCTTAGCTGCAAGCAGAAGGAACCTGGTAAGTGAGCATTTGTATTTCTTTATAGAAAAATTAGAAATATTAAGCAAGCAACAAAGTGGAGTTAATTCAATCTGAGTATTTGTTATTTGCTTAACGTGTTTCCGAACCTGTTGCCAAAAATGTACTACACCATATGTGTATTAGCGACCTGTTGCTTGATTACAACACCAGCAAGTGGTTTTCTTATTGTTGATAGCGTGTCATTGATATCTGTACATATGGACTTTGCACATTGAGGGTGCCATCCGTCATCCCACTGTAGCACTCCTGAACATATGGTTTTTGGTTGTAAGGTGTGCACTGGAAAATAAAAGTTTAAGGCCTGGAAGACAAGTGCAACCCATCATAATTTGAGAAAGAAAGGGGGGTGATCTTTGGAATATTCATCTTGGGTGCCAGAGGACTATGTCCCAGCACTGCTTCCTCCTACCCCATACTGAAATGTGTGTTGCTGTTTTGATCTCTACTGCCCCTGGGGCCAGCCCAGAAAAGCCGTGGGAGGAAAGCTGAGTCTTACAGCCCTTACCATCTGCTTGGACTGTCATGTGTGCTCTGCTGCTCAGATAGCTGTGTAAATTGCACTGGAATGGGCACTCTGCTACTCCCCCAGAGTTTACCCAAACCAGGACCCCCAAACAGGGTAGCACTGCCAGGGCCACTTTTTCAGCCCTGCTTCTCATCTGATTGAATGAGCTTACAATAGTGCCACAGCCCAGTAGGCACATTATAGGGATCAAACTGCACACAGGAATTAAACTGCAACGCAAGGCTTCTGATATGTTTGGTAGTAAAGGGGGTATGACTATATTAGAAAAATAAAATTCTATCCTTTGCGGGTAAGGATAAAAGCATCAGTGGTTTTATCCTTCTGTTTTTTCTACTTTTCTACTGGGAGACCTTTATTGGTAACAACTGCTAAAAATATAGTAGTGGGTCTTATTTGTAACAGTGTCTGAAATAAGAACTCTCTGTGTTGCAACATAGCAACTAGTCAAATACTGTACATTACTGGGGTAATATCTTTAGTGTGAAACGCGTTTACCTGCCAGTCCCCCTCTGTATTTCCACTGTCTGTATTGGTTTTATCTTGATTCAATAAAGTGGATTGTTTGGAGTGCAGTTGATCGGACGTCCTTTCTTCTCATTGCAGCACACGAGCTGGGCTAGCGCCTACAGGAGGAGTTGTGCTTGGAGATTAGGAGTTTCTCTACCTTGAGCAGTGGTAAACATAGTCAAATACTGTACAGAAGAAAAAGTATGTGAACCCTTGGGATTACGTGGAGTTTTGCATGAATTGGGCATAAAATTTGCTCTGAAACGTCATCTAAGTCAAACAATAGAAGAACTCTGCTAACATAATACTACACAAACATTAGATGTTTCCATGGTTTAATTGCACATAACATGTAAACATTCACAGTAGGGAGGAAAAAGTATGTGAGGCCCTAGCTTAATGACTTCTGAGCTAATTGGAGCCAGGAGTGAGCCAACCTTGACTCCAATCAGTATGATATTGGATGTGTTGCTGACAGCTGTCCTGCCCTTAAAAAACACACACCTGTTTTGGGTTTACTGGTTTCAAGAAGCACTGTCTGATGTGAACCATGCCTCGCAGAAAAGAGCTCTCAGAGACCTCGATCAATAATTGTTGACTTGCATGAAGCTGGAAAGGGTTACAAAAGTATCTCCAAAAGCCTTGATGTTCATGTAAAGACAGACTGTCTACAAATGGAGAAAGTTTAGCACTGTTGCTACTCTCCCTAGTCGTGGTCGTCCTGTAAAAATGACTGCAAGAGCACAGCGCAGAATGCTGCATGAGGTAAAGAAGAATCCCAGAGTGTCAGCTAAAGACCTACAGAAATCTCTGGCACATGCTAACATTTTTGTTGACACATCTACAATAAGGAAAACATTAAACAAGAATGGAGTACATGGGAGGACACCACGGAGGAAGCCATTGCTGTCCAAAAAGAATATTGCAGCACGTTTGAAGTTTGCAAAAGAGCACCTGGATGTTCCACAGCACTACTGGCAAAATATACTGTGGACAGATGAAACCAAGATTGAGTTGTTTGGGAAGAACACACAACACTATGTGTGGAGAAAAAAAGGCACAGCACACCAACATCAAAACCTCATCCCCACTGTAAAACATGGCGGAGGGAGCATCATGGTTTGGGGCTGCTTTGCTGCCTCAGGGCCTGGACGGATTGTTGTCATTGATGGGAAAATGAATTCCAGAGTTTATCAAGACATTTTGCAGGAAAACATACGACCATGTCTGCCAACTGAAGCTCTGCAGAGGATGATGCAACAGGACAATGACCCAAAGCATACAAGTAATTCAAACAAAACAATGGCTGCAACAGCACAGAATACGCCTTCTGGAGTGGCCCAGTCAGAGTCCTGACCTCAACCTGATTGAAATGCTGTGGCATGACCTTAAGAGAGCGATTCACACCAGACATCCCAAGAATATTGCTACACTGAAACAGTTTTGTGAAGAGGAGTGGTCCAAAATTACTCCAGATTGTTGTGCAGGTCTGATCTGCAACTACAGGAAACGTTTTGTTGAGGTTATTGCTGCCAAAGGAGGGTCAACCCGTTATTAAGTCCAAGGTTCACATACTTTTTCCTCCCTGCACTGTGAATGTTTACATGTTATGTGCAATTAAACCATGGCAACATCTAATGTTTGTGTAGTATTATGTTCAGCAGACTGTGTTCTTCTATTGTTGTGACTTAGATGACGTTCAGAGCACATTTTATGCCCAATTCATGCAAAACTCCACGTAAATACTTTTTCTTGCAACTGTATATGACCAGTACAGTAACACATTAAAATTCATAAAACAAATAATGCGCCTGAATTGAAGAGAAACTAAATACAGCCCACAGCCAGAAACCATAAAAAGCCTCTACAAGTAGAAAAAAGATGTAAGGAAAAAATAATGTACACAATTAAAGATCACACACGATTATTTTAATTGTGTAAAAAAACAAATCACATTTTACAGTACTTAATCATTTTTTACATAGTATGTAGGTGAGATACTACTTCCTCATGTATGTAGTATGACCACTTCCTCATGTGTCAATTGTGTTGTAGGAGAGTGGAGACTGAGAGCAGGGAACGTCCAAACAAAGAGATAGCAAGAAGGTGCCCAGTGCCAGACGTGGCATGCAGTTCAGGTATTTTTATCTATTCACCTGA